GTGACTCGTAGTGAGTGTGTACTGGTGTGACTCGTAGTGAGTGTGTAGTGGTGTGACTCGTAGTGAGTGTGTAGTGGTGTGACTCGTAGTGAGTGTGTAGTGGTGTGACTCGTACTGAGTGTGTAGTGGTGTGACTCTTAGTGAGTGTGTAGTGGTGTGACTCGTAGTGAGTGTGTACTGGTGTGACTCGTACTCGTGAGTGTGTAGTGGTGTGACTCGTAGTGAGTGTGTAGTGGTGTGACTCGTACTGAGTGTGTAGTGGTGTGACTCGTAGTGAGTGTGTAGTGGTGTGACTCGTAGTGAGTGTGTACTGGTGTGACTCGTAGTGAGTGTGTAGTGGTGTGACTCGTAGTGAGTGTGTAGTGGTGTGACTCGTAGTGAGTGTGTACTGGTGTGACTCGTACTGAGTGTGTAGTGGTGTGACTCTTAGTGAGTGTGTAGTGGTGTGACTCATAGTGAGTGTGTACTGGTGTGACTCGTAGTGAGTGTGTAGTGGTGTGACTCGTAGTGAGTGTGCACCGGTGTGACTCGCAGTGAGTGTGTACCGGTGTGACTAGTAGTCAGTGTGGACTAGTCTGACCTCCTTTGTTGTATCTCGCTACACATGTTTCTCTGGAAATATACCTGGAACGTTACTGTTCCTTTACCTGAGTCGCCTGGTAACATTACTGGCAAGGACCTGCATGGGAAAGGGGTAAGGATATGAAAACAATGAACTGGAACTAATCCACGAGCAGAGACATGGAGTTTTGTATTACCAATGGTTTAACGGTTTGGTACACAGCATATTAAGAGTCATATTGAAGGATATTATTAGCAGTTCTAATTCACTCTCTCTTCTGCCGTTTAATATTCTCATTCCTATGATAATAACCTGAATTCTCTTATTCTGGCTTCAAAGAACCAGCTGACTATCGCATGTTGCTTTATAAGTACGTTCGTAGTGTCAGCAGCCCTAGTCTACCTGCAGGTGTCTTTAAAACCTCAGTATTTAGTCCACTGAGACTCCACCAAACTGAATAATTACTGTGTCCCAGTGGTATTTAAACAAACCATGGCTTCATTCATGCTGTTAATGAATTGTACATTTAGATTTTGAGCTCTATTGCTATAGTTTAACAAAAAGGGATTTCCAGGTATTTCAGTGACTGGGTGTACGATTAACAGACTGTGTTATAATTATTGAATCATTTCACAAAAATTCCTCTTTAAAAGGGCCTATAATGAACCCAGAAATTAATTTACGCACCGTACAAGGCAATCTTTACTAAAATAATTTTGTGAGGTTGCTTTGCCTGTGCTAAATAAATAGGAAGAAACCAAAGCACATGATATATATTTTTAATAATGTTTTCATAAAATATTTAAACATTCTGTAGTTTTTCATTTGTTATCCCCTTGGTAATTGCCTTTTACAATAAGTAGAGAATAAATGGAAGGCATTTAAGTTAACATAAAGGAAGTTAAGATTCTCACAAAACCCATCCTACATAATTGATGTGTGTTGCTCCACCTTGTACACCAGACCAAGCGAAAGTAAACACTGAACAGAGGTATGGGGGGGGAAACTAACCAAACAGACACAATTCTTAAAAATGCAGTTATTACCATAGACACACAAATACCTATTTACCATGTCTGATTAATATTTTAATATGCATGCCATCGTCATCTTCCTGTCTCATCTACTTCCCTTGAAAATCACAATGTAACTCTTATACCTTCACAAACAGAGGTCTACTGCATCCGACTCTTTATCTAACTTCCACTGGGACAACAACACTGTTAAATATTAGTCTTTTGGGCCAGAGGCATGCCAGCAGGCTCTAGGTGGCAGGAGAGGACAGCCAACGAAAGGAGGGTGCAGCACTGCAGTAGCTACAGGACATGGAGAGGACAACGATGGTTGATTTGAGATTTGATTTCTTTATGTATAATTTGATCAAAATAATGTTATATAATCGTTTTTGGACTTTGAGAACTATATGGTTCATTGAAATGGGTGAATCTCTAAACTAAACAGTGTATTCTTTTAAACATAGGAACATAGACTGTGACAACAGATAAGGGCCAATCGGCCCATCTATTCTGCTCAATTTTCTTAATACTTGCATTAGTCTCTTATATCTAAGATAGCCGTATCCCTATCCCACGCATGCTTAAACTCCTTTACTGTGTTAACCTCTACCACTTCAGCTGGAAGGCTATTCCATGCATCCACTACCCTCTCAGTAAAGTAATACTTCCTGATATTATTTTTAAACCTTTGTCCCTCTAATTTAAGACTATGTCCTCTTGTTGTGGTAGTTTTTCTTCTTTTAAATATAGTCTCCTCCTTTACTGTGTTGATTCCCTTTATGTATTTAAATGTTTCTATCATATCCCCCCTGTCTTGTCTTTCCTCCTTTTCTACAATTTGTCCCAATATTGTCCTTCCGACTTAAAAAAATAAAATTGTAATATTGCTTCTAACTTTTACTGTGGCTTCTTAGTTAGTAGTGTACATATTTTTTGTTTGTTTTTCTCTTCATTTTGCAAAACTACATTGCCTTTCCATTTAATTCGAAAGATAGCCTGTACTCTTTTTGTTTACTGTTTGCTTTTTAGAACCTTTTTTTAAATCTATATCACTGAAGAAAAAGTGTAAGATGAAACTTTTGGCTGGGTTAAACTTTTGCAGGTGTTTAAAAGCCATATGGGATGAAATATTGACTATGGCGGTTTTGCAATAACTATACTGCTTTCTACTTTAGGATCAATGAATTCTGATTTCCTATAATATAACTCTTCATTCTCATTGATCTCTGACTTTTTTCAAGTAAATTTTCACATTTCCAAAACTGTTTAGTATCTGGATATTAAAATATTATTCAGCATTATTTGCATGGCACTAAATTATCTTATTTTGGCAAACACACTAACTTCTTTCTTAATACTGTACATAATGTTCTTGTAGCGTTCACTGATGTACCTTCTGTGTTTATATTGCAGCAATATCTCTTCAAATTCCCTATTAGAACATTATTTTTCCTTGTCATCAAAAACTTTATCTGCTCAGGATAGGTAGCAGCTTTCAAAAAAACAATACTTCTAAAAGTACAGTCAGGGGAACCCAACGAGAAATGTAGCTGTGAAGAGTGGGATTGTGCTAATAACAATCACTGCAGAAGACCAACTAGGGATTTCGTTTTGACCTGGAATCAAAAATGTATTATGTTTGATTTAGTGTGGAAAATATTAGACTCTTCTACAAGCTTTAGCAATGATTATCGTCCATGGCTGCCAAGATCAGAAAAGTACTGGAATCTAAACATTCTACAATACAAATTAACCTGCCATGTTGTTACTAACTAAAACTAATACGCCATGTAACGGCACCCCCGGGCATAAAAGGGTTAAAGCGCCGTTTAGTAGATCTTCCCTTTCAGAGACACAGGCACAGCTACTGCAGAACACCAAACTCCCGAACTGAATACAAGGGAATGCTCCAAACTCCCGAACTGCATACAAAGTAGCACTCCAAACTCCCGAACTGGAACCTCACGAATAGCTGCTAGCAGACGAACAGGAAAAACACCCAAGCGTCTTACACTTCTGGCAATTAGTCTCTAACAGCATACAGTAAATCCCCCCAAAGACGAGACAGAGCTCCGTGTTGAGGGTCAAGCAGTGGTCTGGTTTATTGAGGGCTACCTGCCCGGTATTTATGCAGGTCTCCCACCTGGTGGACACTCCCCTAGGTGACCAGATGGAAGACTGTAACACAGACAGACATATATCACATACAGACACACAGAAGTAAAACATCCCCACAATGCATCCTAATTTCCCTTCCTCTATCCTGGAGATAATTGGGAGGTAATCCAATTATCTCCCAGGACAGAGGCAAAACTCCATTATACACATGGGGACACAAAGGCAGTAAAATACTTTAAAATATACAAAGTTACATTTAATACATAAAATCCATACATGTCACATATCCCCAGATAGCTGTGATCTGAGCGCACATAACTACCGAATAGCGCTCAGATCCTATACACACAGTTCAATTGCAATGGAGCCAAAGTCTTTAATTACACGAATAGGCTCCATGGCATAGCTATCTGGGTTAAAACATTCACTAAAGTAAAGTCCCGATCAATTCAGCGTTTGGCTAAACAGCCACAAATAGAAGCAGGGAAGGCTGGAGGCTCAGTGGTGCCTGCACATAAAAGTGTCCGCTTTTAGTGCACTGATTCCGGGCTGAGCACCGCTGGCCGTCCGGGGAGCTCCATAACACCGACACCTAGCGGCCGCTAAGTGTAACCGTGGCCACCCATTAACAGTCAATTAACAGCTACTGGGTGGTCAATTGACGGCACACGCTAGCTTCAGGGAGGTGAATTGAAGGCACACGCCAGCTTCCCGGTGGTCGCGCCTTCGGTATTTTGTTTGGAAGATAAAATCTACCGAACGCCCCTGGCAGAAAGGCATGAATAAGCCTTTCTGCAGGAAAAATAAAGTATTTTAAAAGTCCGGTCCATAGTCTAAAGGGAGCAGACGGGCAACCAGGCTCCTCCAATGCAATGTGGCGAGATTGCTCTCATCACACGCCATATATGCAAAATTAATGAAATATAGTAGATACCTTCCCCTAGATAGTGTTGAACCTTAGGGAGAAGTTGGGCTTCCCCATACCTCTGTAGTTACAGAGAGTCACACCTCTAGAAGGGAAGGGAGTTCCAAAGGTGCAGCCCCAGAGAAGTCTTGGAGGGGAGCATCAGATGTGGGAGCACGGACAGAGGATAGACGTAGACATATTCAGAGTTCTGGTTGAGTCCATGCCTCAAAGGATCCGAGCTGTTTTGGGAGCACGACGGGGGCCTACACAATATTATGGCGGTGTTTTTCAATGTGGTGGCTGATCAGTGTACGTACACTTCTTTTACCCCTTACATACAAAATAACGCCAAATTCTGTCATTCTAACCTTAAAAAAAAAATTCTGGACTGTATTTATTTTATCATGCAATGAGCTTGTCATTAGTATTATGGCAATTTGTTATTAATACTCAGACCAATGCAAAAAATGTCATTAGTTCTAAACCTAGCATTTCATGACATTATTGTGCTATTCCAAATCGCCTTATTATTGTAGACTCTCGTTTTTCCGTCATAATTATATATAATTACACTTTATTGTTATACCTGACATTAACCTTATTTTCAATAAAAAATTCTTAGAAATCACATTGACTTCATTGAAGTCTATAGGAAAATTGATATTCTGTAAGTCGAGTATAAACCCTTACTCTGAAAAGATTATCCAACCTTTGTATCTACAGCAAACATTTACCATGTGTACAGTGAATTTATCAAAACATACACTGCTTATATTTCTATTCTTTCTCATATATACAGTTACAGATGTCCAATGTTTAAAAAGAAAAAAAGTATACATACATTTTATTCC